ACCCCAGGGAGGCCACACACTTTCTTCCAGCACCAACCTGCTTCCTGCATGGCAGCGGGCACCCAGAGAAGGTGCTGGGGTTCAGGTGACACCCCACCCTCCCCCCAGAGCTTGGGAACGCTCACCCTCGGCTGAGCCAAAGCTGCTTTCCCCACGCTAGCTTACACCACCAGCAGGGCAGGAGCCAGGAGGGTTTGGGGCTGGGGCAGGTTTCCTCTGGGAAAACCTCAGAGGATCATCCCTGGCAAGTCACGGAGAGCCCCATGCTCTGGGCTGTTGCTGATCTGGATCGTGCTGTAGGTTTGGTTTGTGGGCCCACATGGAAGCAGGGTACCGAGGGAAACCCACGTAACGGACCCCAGCAGGGAACACAGCATGGTCACCACGATGGTTTCTCCTGGTGAAGCACAGCCACGAGCGAGCAGCACTGCTGCCTCCAGCCTGCTTGGGGGACGATGCCCTGGATCATCTCCTCCTGCCTTGTCCCTCAGCCCCAGGTGCAGATGCAGGGAACAGTTGTGCAATGGAATAACTTCTTTTGAGCAGTTGAACAATCCTGTTTGTATCTTGTGCAAAAGGCTTCCAGGAAACACAATGCAACAGCAGAGGAAAAAGAAACAAACATCGGCATGTGCCCAGCCCAATTCCCCACCCCCATCCTCCCCAAGGGTTTAAATGTTGGCATCCCCCAGCTCTCCACGCTCGCACCTCTCAGGGACACGGCAGCATGAAGTTGGTGGCTGCTCTCCTCCTGGCGGGGATGCTCATCCTCTGGACAGAGCTGCCAACAGGTATGAGATGTCCTAGGTTATCCTAGGACAGGGAGGAAAAGCACAGGGGCTGGAAGGAGCCGTTTGCAGGGATCCTGTGGGATGGGAGAAGAGAGGAGAAGGGCATTTGGTGGGGAGCATCTCCGTAGGGACCCCAGCTGCCGACAGCCTGGAGCAAACACCTCCCTCCTCTTGCAGGCAGCGCCTGGTCCTGCCCACACATCCGCTTCACCTGCGCGATACCCAACCCACCGAATGCGTCCCTCCTCTTGCAGGCAGCGCCTGGTCCTGCCCGCCCGTGCACTTCACCTGCGCGATGCTCAACCCGCCGAACAAATGCTACACCGACCGGCAGTGTCCACGGCCCAAGAAGTGCTGCCAGTCCTTCTGTGGGAGGAGATGCCTCTCGCCACCATCTTCCCCCCCCCTCATCTACGGTAGGGTCTTGGGAACCCCCCCACCTGTGCCCGCCTCCCCGGGTAGCAGAGGGGGTATATGGTGACAGTGGCTCTGGGCTGGGAGCTGTGTCCGGCTGCTGGAGCCTTCCACTGTCAGGCTGGTGGGGGGACTGATGGCCAAACACGTGGGCTTGGGGTTACGCTGGGCACCGGACCCAACCTCTTGTTTTCTCTCCCTTTCCCCAGAATGAGCTCCTGCTCCCGGGACAGACCCAGGGCCTTCTCAGCATCCCCGTGTCACCCCAGCACCAGCAGCTGCCCGCACTTCTGCTAAGGCTCGTCCTGCCCGATGCCAGCCCCCGGGAGGATGGGGACGGCCACCAGCCCACGCTCAGGGACCACTTCAGCTCCAGAACCACCCAGCTGAGAGCTGCCACGCAGTGCTACGTGTTGCCTGCTGCCCGCTCCCTCTGCTTCCCCACTGCTGTTCTAACAAATAAAAGAGCTTTTTCCCAGGGATGCTCGTGACGTGCATCTCCTTTCCCCCCC